CTCCGCCTCTCTCACCGCTCTTGGCGGTCCCGACGGGTGCGGATACCGCCCCGACCTGATGGCCGCCAGATTCTGACGGCCCTTGGCCGCTGGATTACAACGCAAGACCAACCATCTCGGGTCGGTGGTGCACGACTTGCCGCAAGTCGTGCAGAAAACCAAATTATATTTAGCCCATTTCTGCAGAGTGTGCGACCCATGGAGCTCTCTACCCGGCACCCGAAAGCCAGCACGAACGGGGGAGAAGTCGGGCGTCTGCTCGGGCCTGCAACGGGAGGCACACATTTGGAAAATCGAATCCTGATTCGAGAACAAATTGCAACGCCTACATATATACTTCGTCCCTGCACGGGACCACGAATGCTCTGAGTCACGCAGGGCACAGGCAAGCTTAGGTAACGGGGCCCCCCCCCTCGATTCCAGGGCGCTCGCAGGTCCAGGGATCGGCTTGGATGCTCGCTGCCAGGGCTCTCCGCGCCCTCCGACGGACCAGGGCGGCCTCGGAGTCCCGAACATCGGTCTGGGGGGGGGGGCGAAATCACGAATTCAGTCCAGCTAAGCTCGGCAGCTTCGCTGGCCAAGGCGTCTGCGCATTCATTCCCGAAGGCGTAAAACAACTGCGTACGCGAGAGTCCTCCTATCTCCTCTTGGTGGGAGGGGACCCATACAATTTCTATTCGGCCAGGCCCACGATCACGCTTGGCGGCCTGGATCCTGGCCCTAAGGTCTATATTCACCCCGCTGCTCGGCGGCTCAGACCCACAGCCTTTGGTCCAGGAGTCCAGGAGGGGGCGATGGTCAGTAACGAAACGGACGTCGCCATCGCTGGATTCAAGGGCTTCGGCGAAGGCGGTTATCTCAGCGCGCGGCACGGTCTGTCTTCGGCCCTCGATGCTGCAGCCCAGACCCCAGACGGCACGCCAGACAGCCCCTTCGGGGGCGAGACCGATCAGACCCGAGCCGACCCTTCGACGCCGAGGGTCGTCCGAGAACCTCCCACCCGACCCGTCCCCAAACAAGGTCACAAAACCTTCGGCGTCTCTGGGAACGGCTGCAAGGGTGCCAAACGAAATTCGGATGGGAGGCTTATCCGCGAAGGTCGGGACCGTTTCGGCCCGGCCAGGGACCCCGCGGAGCCAAAAACTCGGGCAGCTCTCATGGTTCACCCGGGCTTTCTCGGCCAAAACCTGGCTCTTCTCGAAATCTTCATGGCCAACATTGGCCTCACAGGCCCACACTCGGTGGTACAAATCCTCGGGGGCTTTGGAACAGCGGGGGCAGAGGCCATCAATACGGTAGCCTGCCGCGCGCAAGCGCTCACGAGTCCACTGGGCGCCCGTGACGACCACCACGTCCAACGCCCAGTTGTCGCCCTCGAGGTCTGGCTTGAGGCGGCTGAGCTCCCTGGAGACGTGGTACATGTCCGCGCCCTCCGAGAGGTCCGAGGCAGCTTCGTGGAGGGCCGCCGCACGCCACAACTGTCTGTCAATCGTGGCCTCAATGTCATCAAGGATGTCCGTGAAGTCTCCGTGGAAGTTGTCAAACTCTGGGGACGCCACAGACGGGATGTGCCACTCGAACTGCTCATCCGAAGACCACACCATCGGGCTAACGGGGTCCCAACCAATGTCGAGCAAGGTTGAAATCGTAGCTGCAATGGGGCCCTTCGAAACTCTCCATCTTCGCGAACCCGCTAATCGTAGGCGGCTACGGATGCTATCCCACGATCTCGCAATACGTGTGTGATATTCTGGGTACTCTCGCCACAATCGCAGCCATGCCAGGACCTGCTCACGTCGAAGTGCCTTCGCTGGGTCTCGTCGGTCAAAGGCGGCGGCAAGCGACGTGGTCAAACATCGGCCAGGCCCCGTGCCGACGGCACTCTGGGCGGCCTGGCGGCGGATCTGCACCAGCTCGTAGCCAGGGATCCCGAACGTCTGGTGCGTGTAGGTGCCCTGCGGCTTGGACCCCATGCTCCAGAGGCCCTTGGTGATGCCGCGGAGGCTGGCGTGGCGCCTCATCCTCATGATGGCGGAGGTGCGCTTCTTGGCCTTCATGAAGCGCTCCCTCGCCTTGGTTCTGGTCCGTGATCGGCCCGAGGTCGCGTCAGCACCGAGGTCCACAGCGTGGCGGACAGGTGTCACAGGGATGCCAACATCGATCAGGCCGGCAGTGATTCGGGCTGCCAAGCTCGAGGACGAAGCAACGACCACCGTCTTCGGGCTTATCTTGAGCCCTGCGTCCACGAAGTCGCTGGCCAGGGACGTGCAGGAGTCGATCATCAGCGAGCCGACCTCGTGCGCTGTCCCCTCTGCCCGAACCACCGTGTCGTCAACGAAGGTGCGGAGTAGGATCCTGAGCCCGTAGTTGATGTGGGCCCTGTCCAGCATGGGGCCCATGAACGCCTTCGCGAAGCGTCCACTCTGCAGCGAGCCTGCCACTAGACTCTTCTCAGGTTGAATCGCCTTGCTCAGCCAGAGCCTGTCCTTGAGGTGCCGCGGGGCAAGGAACAGCTGCAACTCCAGCGCGAGGATGAGAGCAGGAAAACCTTGGCGAATACCTGCTGCACACATCTTGGCAATCGAAATACTATCATAAAATTTTTCCAAGTCCAGGAGCAAGGTAGCACATGAAATCTTCATCTCCTGGCAGGTCTCATCGAGGAGAGATCGGACCAAGGCAGCCTGCAGGGCAGACGAGCCACGGATCGCTGTGTCCCAATGCTCGTCCATGGCCACCGTCCAGTCCAGGGAGTCAGCACTTCTCATCTTGCTCCACAACTTGGGCAGGAACGGGAGCAGGCCCAGGATCCTGTCGCCCCCCTTCGGCTTGGGGGCGACGGCGGCGATCACCCTGAAGAGCTGGTGCGGCCACATGGCGACGCGCCCGATGTGCTTCACCAGCTCGAGCAGCTCCTGGCGGGCCTCAGCAGGCAGCCGCTGCACCTCGATGGGGCCCATGGCGTCGACCCCCTTGGCCTTCTTGCCATTCATGGAGCCCAGCGCGCTGTTCATGCGCTCGGCGGTGAGCTGCTCGAGGTCCTGGGTGTCGGCCCTGCCCATGACGTACTGGAGGCCGTCGATGATCTTGGCAGGGACCATCGTGTCGTCGCTCCATATCTCGTTCCAATCATCTGCACGCTTGTCCATCATCTCATCAGGGGTGGCGAAGACCTTGGAGTCAGCAATGATCTCGTCGGGCTTGTCAGGTACCCCTTTCACGTGGCGGTGTAAAATTCCTGGCGACTCCTTCCACATCTTGGTGGCCCAGGCCTGGAATCCCTTGCGAGCCTTGGACAACGAGAGGCCGATGGCTCTGCACTTGTAGGACTCCGCCTGCTGGAGAATGGTGTCGAACTCCTCATCGTCGGCAGTGCCAATCTGCTGGATCGCCGCAACCCAGGTCCAGAACTGGTCGTCGTCGCCGAAGGGCTTCTGGAAGTCGCTGTCCAGGCCAACGTCCAGCAACTCGAGGAGCTTGGTCATCGTGTAGGCGTTGTCGTGAACTCGAGCCGTCCGTCGGAAGATGCCCAATCTCGAGAGTAGTGACGTGCACAGGTTCCACCATTCGAGTAGCGGGTCTCTCAAGTGGGGCCTGGACGGGGTGGCTCGCGTGATTTTCCATTCAATATCGTATCCTTGTGCCCTGCCACGACACTTCTTGGCATCACCTGCTGGAAGCTCGTGGTGTGCTATCGTTGCCTCCTCCACTGCTTGGACCCATCGCCCGTAGCGTAGGCCAACATCGTCACGTACTTCGGGATCCCGATCGAGCAGGAAATGAGGCCGATGTGCGGGGGTGCCTTCGTACGGCTTGTCCTTGGCGGCCTGCCAGCACTCCAAGGGGATGTTGAACGCAGGTCCTGCAGCTGGTGCTGGAGGGGCTTCATCGTGGTCGTAGAGGTCGGCGTACGCCTCCTGCAGGTAGTCGTCGAGCTCCTGGCGGCGGCGCTGCTTCGCCTGGGCGATGGCCTTCTGCCGCTTGCTGTTCGGGTCAGCCGCGCGGACAGGCCTCGGGAGTGCCGGCAGAGGTTGGGCGGCTCTGAGGCTGCGATGCCACCACGCCTTCTTGCCCGCCTTGAGCGTGACGCATATCCCAGCGTGCGTACGCCATGGGACCTCAGGGACAATATGCACACGGATGCTGTCGGCGAGGCCCTCCTTCACGATCGCGTAGTCGATGAGGGAGCCGCGGCCATTGTTACACGTGACCTGGCCGTTGATGGGCACGCAGATGTTGCCCCCGAGCTTGGAGATCCAGGCAGTCTTGGACCAATCAGACGGAACCGCATTCCAGTCGCCAACCAGGATCCAGGGATCTTTGATCTGCTTCAAGAACGAGGCAAGGCGGATCAGCATCTGCTCGTTCGGGCCCTTGAACTTGTGGCCAGGAAGCAAGTAACAGGAGACAACCACTATGTTGCCGACGCGCGTGTGCCACAAGAGAGGAGCGAATCCTCGGAAACAATCTTTACCTGTGCGTTGAAGCTCTGCTTGGCGCCAGGACTCGAAGGAGGTGGTGCAGACTGACTTGCGCGAGACTGCCCATTCTCCACCTGTGTTGCCAGCATCAGACCTTCCAGTCAATACTGCAGGGGTGGCCGTCACCTTCCACCCGTCCTTGCCAAGATCGGATTTGGCGGTGGCCAGCTGCTCTCCCCGGACGTGCGTCTCGCAGAACGCGACGAGGTCGTAGGAGGGCGCCTGGCCTCTCATGAAGCCCTTCGCGGTGGGGCCCCACTCGGGGATGTTGGCGAAGAAGAGCTTGGAGTCGGAACCTTGCTCGTCATCTCTCTGAGTTTGGGGAGACCCCGCCATCAGGGACGCCGTTGAACATGTAGGGGAAGAACTCGTCCGCGGTGGGCAGCCAGCGCCCGCTGGCTGCGGTGGGGCGCTGCTACCCGCGGGCTGGGGCAGGGCCAGCGGCCCCAGCAGCGGCAGAAGGGGCGCTGCCAGCAGCACCAGCAGCGCCAGGGCCAGCGCTCGAAGCACTGGCCGAGC